TCCTGCGTACCACATTCATACAATTATGCCCGTATACCCTTCACTGACGTATAATAAACTTTGCTCACATTTTGCACCCTTTCAACTTTGGTTTTGAACGAGTGTGTGCGAGTGAAAGCGATGAATTATGCAACCGTTCTCTGAAAGTCTTCTTGTGTTCTTTTGAGAGACACACGGGCCTGAGGAAACCGAGCTCCAACTTTGACATTATATTTGGACAGTGCGTGGCAGGTGGAAATAAACAGTAATAATAGTAATGGACCCTCTTTTTTGATCGGAGGAGGTTTCGAATAAAATGCTGTCAGCAGTGGCAGAAAATGTTCTAATTTTTTTTCTATCCAATCAAATATAAATGAATATTGTAACTTCCGCAGCCTAAAATGTACACAAATAATCCAAATGTAATTATTGGATTTTTTTAAACAAAAATTTTAATTCATCAAAACAAAATCATCAAATATTTCAAAGAATTACTTTGATTGGTAATGCTAAGAAACATTGATTGTTACATTATTTAATAAAAATTGATAATTATTTATTAATTATTATTTTTATGGGTTTAAAATAATAAAGTAATTTAATTTAAATTAAATAGAATTATTTTTAATTTAAATTAATATATGGAATCGATTTATAGTAAATTGTTAATTCACGTATTTTGTTTGTTATGTGGTTTTCATGCTGGTTAAATATATTTTTGGCCTCTTCATAAATGCCAGCGAGTGGTTGGCAGCCACTAATTATTAAACAGAAATTTCAAAGCCTCGTGCTGCCCGTTTTGCGAATTAATTAATGAGCAATCAGGATGTGCTTTGATTGGTCATGCCTTCCATCCATCTAAATCAACATACGCTTCAGCTCGCAAAGTGTCAAAGACACGGCTTCAAATCATAATTGCGCACCCTCGCGTTGACGATTAAATTTCACGCTTTAAATAGCTCGCTTGGACAAACTTGTGTAGTTTCTTAGTAAGCAAAGTCGATTTAGTTGGACTGGTATAATAATACACGCAATAGAGAGTTGTTTGCGCTTTGGAGGAAAACGGTATTATTATTTGTTATATCTTCACGGTTGGTGCTGCTTTTTTGGTTTGGTTTGCCCCGGGGCTCTGTGACAGATAGGCCAAGATGAATGAAGCGTCTCAAGGGGTTTCGCGAAATCGCTTCTTTTGTCATCTCGACGCACCATTCAATCGCGTGCACCGCCCTTTCAATACGCAGTTCCCCGTTTTCCTTTAGAATGGCTTTTTCCATTTACAACTGCAAAATGGACCGTTTGGAAAAGCTGCAAAAAGGCCTTTCTTTTGTCTTTTTTTAAAGAACATTTTTAAGGGTTGGCGATAAAGGCAGATTTTGCCTTTTGCAAAAGATCTTTCAAAAATGTAGAAAGGAAATGCTTTAAAAGCTGACATTTCCACACTTCCTAAGAAATTAATGTTTCCACTAAAATTCTCCTCCATTTCAATTTCACTTCAGACCATGTTGCCGCAAACAAAACGGGTTTAATTATTGTCTCCGGAAAGTGTTTGTAATTCTAACTCCTTTGAAGTTCGTGAGTTTATTCCAAGAAACAAAAGCTTTGATGAGAGGTCGCCATCAAAATTAATTCAAAAGCAATTTTGCTCCAGAAAACATCAAAGAGCTTGTGTTTTGAGCAAAAATATCGGCTCCAATTTTGTCTTGAGAAGAATAAAAATGAAGGCGCCTTGGCCCTCCTAAAAGGCTTTTATGGAGTGTTTTCGCGGTGGCAAAACTTGCGCCTTAAGTAGCGATCCGGTGAAATCACCCACGTAAGCACAACACAGGCAAATTGCTTATCAATCCCCCAATCATGAATAATACATCGGCTGCACTGAGAGACGGACGGGCGTGGCATGAGGCAATCCAATTTCAAAACTTCGGCGTCGCCCAACTTGAGCCGACGAACCGCGGCTTTTCTGTGGAAAAAGCGGCTGACACTCGCAACTTTGCTTTGGCACATCAAGCTGATTCAACAAATAATGTTTTACGAAGAGAGCGTGTGAGGCAAAAAGAGGGTTCAGCCGTTTGAAGTGGAAAGCGCGCGGCGTAAATCACGTTACTCGATTTTTGGTGGAGCGGAAAATTTCAATCGGATTGCATTACTTTTAATGAAATCCTGCTCAAAGGAAAATTTAGTTAAAATCACATTTCAAACATGGACAGGTGCAAAAAACTCTGTTTATAAAAAAAAATGGTTTGAAAATATCAGCTCCAAAGGTCCCAGTTGTTTTTTTTTTCTGTCAACAAGCTATTCTTTGACCAGAATCAGTCAGAATTAATATAACATTTTGTTTTCAGAATCTAAAAAAAGGCGCTTAAATGTCATTAAATTAACACTATGCCTAAAAAAAAATACATAGTGTTTCTTACCACAACAAATTTTAATAAAATAATTCGTTGTTTTAAGTTTCAATTTTTTAATCGGCATTTCTTAATTAATTCGATTCACAAGCATAATATTGTTAGGAAATGAATTAAAGATTTGATAAAAAGTTAAAAAGACTTTTTCAAAGTCAACAAGATTGCTTCCAAATGTTGCCCTGAGGCTGTAATCTCAATATTTTCACTGTGAATGATCGATTAACAGACTTTTATTTTTAATAAACATCATCAATCACAAAACTCCCTTGCTTTTAATAAAATCTTGAACATAATATTATACAACAATATGACTAATTATGTTTAGAATGCTATAATTTAATCTATTATTTAACGATTGCCAACTATGGAAACTAAATTTTATTTGAGAACCAAATTAATATTTTATGAACGTAAAATTCCATAATACATACCTTTTTCGTTGAATATTTTGTTTACATAAAATGTTAAACAGAAAAGTTCCTGGAAGCTTGGCAAACTTTTTTCATAAATGTTTACTCCCACGTGCTTTTCCAACCCAAATATGTTTTCTTGAAGAAAAAGAAATTCGTTCCAATATCGAGCATTTCTTTGTGAATAAAAAAAAATTTCTTCCAAATCCATGCTAAATTTCCCCACTTCAAAAAAAAAAAAATAAATAAATAAATGAACATGGAAGAGGAATGATCACAATACAAATGAAATATCGTTTGAAATTGAACGTCTTTTTCATCTGAAAATGACTTTCCCCGCTTTTCCGGCACTGCTTTTTGAATGGTGTTCATTTCGATCATTACACGCCGGAGCACCTCATTTCGCTGGCTGCGAGTTCTCGCTGAAATTTCGCCCTCTGCTGTCGGGGAAACATATTTTTGACGCATTTTCCGCGGAATTAAAAGCGACTCGAGATGGTGACAGCGAAATTATTGCCTCGGCTTAATGACCAATTTTAACAAATGAGCAGAAGGCGCCAGAGAAGTCACGCCAAGACACCCTCGCTTGTCGACGGTGGCAGGAAAGCTCTAATTAATCTCGAACGATGCTTGTTTGTTTGCGTTTGCATTATATGATGTTAAGGCCGAGGAAAAATCTGAAAAATTTAATGCAGGGCAGGGGGCAGAAATATGCATATTGACATGCGACGGCACCCTAACGACGACGCCAAACATTATTGCGTCGAAAGAAAGGAAGAATGCCAAAAAAGGCATGTCTTGCGAAAATACAAGATGACGCGTTCAGTCAAGAGGGGAAAATCTTTATGCGAAATATCGACTGTGTTTCATACATCAATCCCTCCTTTTCTGCGTAGGTGACGACGGAAAAATCAAAATCCCCGTCGTTAAAAAGAGACTATATATTTGTGATTGCGTGGGCAAGTCCTTTGATACCCGACACATTTTTAGTATTTTTTTTTTCGGAACATGTAATTCCTCGTGTTTATCACAAATCTCTTTGATTTTTTACCAATGTATTTATTGTGTCATTTTCCTGATCACTTCGTCAATATTTTGCCTTGTTGCTTCTTTTCGTCTGCTAAATTATTCATGCCAAAGCACGTTCATGGGAAAAACGGGAAATTAATTGCTTTGATGGCTGCTACCTCAGGGCAAAGCGCGACTCGATGAAAAAAAAAGTAAATATATTTGCATTTTGCGTTTTTAGAATCGGTCAATCGAAAATTTAATTGGCGTAACCCGAAGCCAAATAATGCCGCAAATTGAGATAAAAAAGGCGCTGTTATATAAATAAAAATCGTTGGTAATGTTATTCTGATAATCTGACAAACGTTTGAAATGAGAGAAGTAGTTTGTAAAAATAATGTTCAATGATTTATTTTTTATTCACGTTTTGATTGAATAAAATAATAAAAATGGCTACCTATCAGGTTAAATTTTCTCTGTAAAATGGTTAGCCTGCAGACGTTTAAAAATAAGTGTAGTTTTCTATTTTAGCAGAATGTTTGATTTCCCAAATTTTCCATTTTCTATCTCATATTGCTTAAAATTATCAACCATTTAAGCTATTTTGATGATCTCACTCTGAAAATTATGCAATAAAACTGTAACATAGTTGCTTCACAAAAAATAAGCCCGCAACAGTTTCCCTTGTAGATCAATAATTGTGCACACGACGCCTAGCTATAGTACAATCTTTGGGGTTAAACAGCAATAATAAATAATAAAAAATAATAATTTTTGATTATGAAACGGATAAAATTTTCATTGCATTTTGCAATTTTCATTTGCTAATACAATTATTAGAATTTTAAGTTTTAATCATTTTTATTAAATTCTATTGACCATAATTTGTGGTAATATTAAAATTATAAACGGAAAAATCGACAATTTCCTTATCACATAATTGAATTTTGTTTTTGGGACTCATTAAGAACAAAACTAATCTAATAGCTTCATTTTTTAGTTTGCATTTTAATAGAGCAAAAAAAAATTAAAGAAACGGAAGAATTGAGTAAAAAATCGTTAAAAATTTAGTCAAAAGAATAACTTGTGATGATGAGAAACTTTTTTTAAATAAGATTTTGCCTTAAATTTTAGTTTCAATTTAATTTGCAGTGATTACAAATTCCAAAATCACTGATTATCTAAAAATTTGGCGACTTACCTGATAAAAGTAGAATGAGTTGATTTCTTCCGTTTTGTTGGCGTCCAAGGAGGCGTTCCACGGTTCTGTGGTCGCGAAGAACAAATCCTCGGTGGTGGCGGCGGAGGTCTCCATGTTGGTCCCTCAGGCACCTGTTGAGGCCTCCATGGACTCGGCGACCGGCGTGCCCGAGCAGACGGAGGGTTGTGGGCCGTTGGCTGGCGGGCCGGCGCTCAAGTACGGCCGCCGCCGACCATCAGACGCATGCGTCCGGAAGCTTCTTCTTCGCACACACAGATCTCTGGTCGTATAATTACGCTCGGCAGGGCTTGTTTCGCGCGTGCCGCTGGCAGCCGGGAATGCGAGGGGGATGATGGAGATCCGGATGGTCTTTTGACGCTGGCCTTGTGTTCCGCCGCCGACGACGGATGACACCGTCGCTTTTATGAGAGAGTTGGCCGTCCGTCGCTTTTCAAAGGCCAGGAATTTATTATGTGGGCCTGCGTGACGCTCGCTGCCCTGCTTTCCGAAGTGCAAAAAACTTAATTAGAATTTATATTCCTTTTTGCACTGTAAAAAGCAAACAACAAGCAGAAAGGAATGGCACGTATTCTTCCAACGCCAAAGAGAATTAAAAAATATTCTCTTATTTTTTTTTTTGTACGTATTTTTATTTTCTTTCGTTGAAATTTAATTTTGTATGCAAGCTATAATTATAATTACAAAATGAAAAACATGAAAATATTTTCCACGAATTTTTTGTGATTTTAAAACCTGTACTTAATGAATTAATGAAATCAATCGACAGGCTGCAAGTTCCCACACATTTAAATGTAATCAAAATGATGAACAACTCAACGAGTTTGCTTTTTTAAGCACATATTTGCATACATAATGAAGCCATTTTAACAGAAAGTAAATAGACAGGAATGCATTATAACTTATTTATTTTATTTACGAGGGGTCTGGTATGTGCGCTCGATTTCGGATAAAAATAATGAATTTTATTACTTATGCAACGTGGTTTGAAAATAAAATTTTCATTACATTTTTAATTTCTCCAAATAATTACTTTTTGTAACGACATATTCCCTGCCTTATTATGGGAAAAAAGCTTTCGGAAATTAAAACGACGCAATTTAAAATCACCGATTTCAATTAAAAGTAACAAAATTAAGCTAATATATATTTCACACTGATTTTGAAGGCTAATTAAAGGCTACATAGCGAAACAGTTTTCCAAGTCAATCAGTAGATAATCAATATTATTATTATGTATTAATTGTTTATGCATACAGTTGATTTAATGCTAACATCGATTGAAATTGTCCTTTGAATTAAAATTATTCATTAATTTTATTTCATTGTTTTTCACAAGTGTTTTATTTAAAAGTTAACAACAATAAAGAAAAAAAACCATTACACAAATAACTTTTTATAATATTTTGTTTTAAAATAAGGTATAATATTTAAAATGAAAAAATACTAATAAATAATAAAAAAAAATTATTGTCTTTTGAAAGTCAATTTTCCGAATTGAGATAAATTTTTACTATAAATAAAGAATTTTTTAGCTAAAAATATATACATTTATGAAAATAAATTTTCGTCTCTGTTTATTCAGGTAGCAATGGTAGGGTAAAAAAACTAGTTCCCTGAAGCCGAATCAGATTTACTTTTGTTTTTGTAGCAAAAGAATTAGTTGGAAATTGGATGCTGACGACGCCGTCAAACTTAGTTGGATCAATGAAAACCGCAGTGAAGCATTTAAGCTCATATTTTTTCCTCGATTGCAGTGCGGCTTTTGTTGAACATTTTGCCTAAACTTGAACCAAACGAGCGGCGTAAAATCCCAAAACCGCACAAACACACCAACATTCGACGCCATTGAGGCTGCCGTTAATCCTCCAATTCCCTTCAGCCGACCGATACACAGGAAAGCACTTTGCTCGATAATCAACTTTCTTGATCCTTCAACTGCAGCTCATTTGCGGCAAAGAAGAGAAGACGAGCTCCGGTTGCTTTTTTATTAACCACACAGCCCACAAACAAGATTAAACGTCAATTGCTTGTTATATTTTTTCACCATAAAAATCACCTTCAATAAAAAGGTCAGAATTTTCAGAAATAAAAATTTCACATTCAATCTGCGATCATGATGGGACTTAGATTGTATGGGAAACTATTTTTTGGACTAAAATTTACAGTTTACTTTCTTAACGTTTAAAATTTTTTAAATTAAGCTTAAATTTGTAAAGATCCGTCAGAATATTGTCAATATGATTTTTTATTTTCGTCATGCAGTATACAAATCCCACGTAGTACTACTTTCATGTGCAGAGAGGCTATTTTGCGATGTTTCCATAGCAAACAATCTTGCTCTTCACCGATTTACGTGCGCGGTGGAAATAGCTCTCTTTTGCGCTCTCCTACCGCTGCCGACTTTGTGTTATTTTTTTTTTCTTCCACCGGCACTTTACTTCTATTGCGTGTGTTTGTTTTCGCGGCAAGAGCGACTGCCCACGTGCTTTTTAGCCACAAGTGCTTTACGACTGTGCTCATCAAACTCTCGCCGCTTTTCGGTCCACTGACTTTTATCCTCATGCAAATTGTATGTTCAACAAATGCAACATTTTCAGTGTGACCGTCCTTCAAAAAGAAAAAAAAATGTGTAATTAGTGACCTTTAACTTTATAAAAATATCAATGGGTTAAAATTATAAGTAGTAATGATTTTTGTTCTGAGCTTTTGATTTTATGTTTAATTGAACGTTTGTGTGTTTGTCTCGCTGAACATATTTTATTTTAATTCTACGTTGCGTCATTTTCCTGATAATCTCGTTGCCTTTGGCTCAATTTAATAATTTTCTCATTTTGAATTCTGTGATTGCTACATTTCAATTTATAATCAATACGCCTTTTGAGACTAAAAATTAATATTATTAGTTAATAATTTCACATTAAATCAAATTTTCTATTATTGAAACTTAAGTAAAGAACACAAAAAAGTATGAAAAATAATCATGATCAAAATATTTCATTTTCATTATAAACAAAGAATTAACCAATTTGCAAATTAAATTCACTTCAATAACCCCTGAATAACCCGTTCTTTTTTCTTTGTATTGGTACAAAATAAAATTCGTCAAATGAATATATCTTGTAAATTATTATTTTTTATGTTGATGAAAAGAAAATTTGTACATCTGTTGTTTCTTTTCTCTTTTGAACTTTTGCTCGGATAATTTCAATCCTTCAAGTTAAAATGCAGAACTAAATTTGCAATAGATTGGAAGAGAGGAATAAATTATTTTCAAAAGAAATAAAATACTCTTATCTCTTATTTGCTTATTTAATGTTTTTAAAATAAATCTTTTTTGAGACAAAAAACTGAATTTCAGCAATAAGAAAATAAGGTGAAAAGCATCTCGCCTGAAGCCGTAATAAAACGCTGTCGTGTTTTTCCTGAAGCAAGAAAAAACAGAGACAAAAAGGGCCACGACGCTTAATTCAGAACTCGCGGCTAATCCCGTGTTTTATTGTTGGTCTCGCGCTTAAGGTCTGACATTTAATCATCATTACTTCAAAGGGCGCGTTTCGCAGCCAAATGAAGTGAATAAAGCTCGCGTCCTCGGATTTTGCGCCCAACGTATGTACAAACAACGAAAAGCAGCCGCGAGATAAAGAGACGGGGAGTTTATGGCGGGAAGGCCGCTGGCGAGAGTTGCCCTTCTTTGTAAGTTGCGGCGCAAAATTTAATACTTGGTGCAGCCGAGTGACAAAGACGAATTCTGCCAGATGAAGAAAGAAAGAAAGAAGAAGGCGCTGAAATCATCTCTCGACGCCTCCCAGCAATGAGGTTTTTGCGGCCTCAGATGGAATGAATGGTGGAGAGATAAAGTGATTTATTTACGAGGCCCAAAGTGTCTGTCCGCACATTTCCCCTAGATGCTCCGGGAGGGGCTCGCCGCGAGGTCGATAGTGATTGTTGGTGTTCTGTCGCCAAATTTACATGCAAATTGAAATCCCTCGCAAAAAAAAACTTTCAGCTAAGGGCAGCTTAGCTGCAATGAATTTTAAACATGGCAATCAGCAAACTGAATAGCAACAAGTTAGATATTTTCCAAGATGTTTGATAACTTTTTGACAAAGTGTGTGTTATTCGCTTAATTGATCGATAGATATAAATATATTTTATTTCCTTTTTAAATGGCAATTTTGCCCCATAGCACTTGAGGATGGAATTACTGACAGGGGAATAGATACAGAAAAATAATCTTACTTACAACATTTTTTCTATAAAATTGATAATCCACAATATTTTGTAGTAGTAATAATAATGTGAATTTTGTTTATATTTACAATTATTAATAATTTTATCACTGTTTAAATCAAGTCAATCAAGTCTAAAGTAAATAATATTTAAAAATTAAAAATAAAATTTTTATTATTAATTCATTTATTTAATTTCTAGTTTTAAATTGTTACAATTAATTTTAGTTATTTTAATTTATACATGTTTACTCTATATTAATAACAAATCAAATGTAATTTTTTTAATTAATAGAAATAAATAATAGCCTTAATTACTATCAAATTCATGTAAAACTATAATAAAAAAAGAGATTGTAATAATTACAATTATTGTATTTTTCCATAATCCATAACTCAAAACGTAGTTCCTCGTACATAAATAATTGGAATGGTTGAATTAATTCTCAGCGTGCGTGTTTTACAAATCCAGCCCTTTTTGTTGCTAATGAATTATAATTCACGCGAGGCGCAGTGATGATTAACGGTGGAAAATCGCAAACCCACGCAGAACATCTCTTTTCTCTTTGGCATTTCGTGCCGGCAACAACAGCAATAACAAAAGTGTAGCTGATTTCAATGCGAGTGAACATGAGAATCGGTAATGGCTCGGCGCAAAAAGCGTTGAGACGAGAGTGGTGCACAAAGGCTTACGTGTTGTGGCAAACGTAATTCGTGTTATGATCGCACGGCGAGCTGCTTAAATGGCGTGGAAAAGAGAAATGCGCGCCAAGCTGTCTTTATTCCACTCAAGTTCAACGTTTTTTCATCAAAAAAAAAAAATTCCAAATTCTAAGTGATAAATTTATTATTTTTGCAGATTTTGACAGCATAGCAAATTTATTAATATTGTAAAAATCATTGCTTGTAACCCGATTGTGTTTATTTTTAACTGTTACGTCAAACTAAGGAGAATTATGGAGCAAAGTTTCTTTTGGACCTTTTTTTTCTTGTTTTGAAAGAGTGGAGTGATAAACAAGAGTTTGGAGAAAGAAAGAAGATCTGGGACTGGCACGTTCACGTCGTTAAAACTTTCTTTTGGCAGTGTGTATTCAGCTTTTTTTATGCCCCGTTGTGGAAAAATCACTCTCCGCTCACTGCATATTATCAATTTAATCCATAAAACGATAACACGCGGTGAACATTAAAATTGTCTTATTTTCAATTTACGGTGGAATTCAGCCTTGGCATGTGAAAGCGCAATTTGCAAACGTGACATTCCAGCGGTAAATGCCGGTGGTGATTTATTTTTACTGTGAAAGAACAATAAAGCCCACGGGGAAATACTTTCACCCTCATAAATATGCAAACCGGAAAATAACATTGCTCATCAAAGGGACGATTTCTTCAAGCAAAATTGCTTTTTTAGATGGTTTAACTTCCGAAAGTTTTATCCTTGCCATAATCAAACATTTTTATTAATTTTTATTTTGTGATTGCCTTTTATTCTGATTGGGAGTGTAGAAAATTATTTAATTGAAAAAAATTTACTGTATAGGTTCTTTTTTAATAAAAGAACAAAAAAAATTTATTTGAAATTATGTGTTATTTTATATTTGGCAACAATCTTACAAATAATAATGAATTCTTTAATATTCAGACTAATATAAACTTGCTTATAAATAAATGAAATGCCAACCATATAAATTTCATAAAATGTTTTGTACCAATTGAGAGCTTTAATTTATTATTTTATAACAATTTAAATTTAAAAATATTTAGTTATTTTAGTTCCCGGGAACTATATTAAAAAAAAAATTTATCATTATTTGATTACAAGTCCAGCCAATTTCCGAGGAAATTATCTGCTAGTGCTAAATGCTTCAAAATAAAAGCTTTTAATGCTAACAAAGATATTTCAAAATTTTTTATTATGTTTAAACATCTATTTTTTTAATTTGAATTTCAAATCATTTTCATTCTGCAAGTTTTTCAACTAAAACAAGTTCCCGGGAACTAAAACAAGTTCCCAGGAACTTGTTTAATATATTTAATATTTAATATCAAAACAAAACGAATTTTTTTTATTTCAGCTTTTTATCTTATTTAGGATAGTTTTGATGTGTTTTGGAAATTCTAGATTTATAAAAGTTATGCGCGTGCGAGTTACTGCTGACATCAGTGGGTTTTTTGTTAGAGTGCCAAATCCAGTATCAGTCAATTCCACTAAAAATCCACGAAGAAAACCACTAAGAAATTGATAGCAGAAGAGCACCATTAAGAAATTTTCTATAAAATAATCCATTAAAATTCTTTATAGTGGATGCGATCTTCTATCGATAGCAGATTTTTAGAAGATTGTTAGTGGTTTCTTCTATCGCCAGTTCAATCCACTAAAGAATGATAGGAGAATGTTAGTGGATGAGGACTGGCTGGGTTGCGGAAGAATTTATGTTTTATAAATCCACAAAAATCTTCTTAATTTTTTTTAATTAACTATCACTTTCAAAAACTTTGAATTGTTTTATTTTAATATTGCTATGCAAGAAAACAACAATAGAAAACAAATGGCGGTAGATAATGATATTTTAAAAATGCAAAACTTAAAAGTTTAATTGGAACAATCATTATGTGTCATAAATCAAGCAACTCATGGTGTAACGTCTACGGTTGCTGAGCCGGTGATGTCGACCAACTCGTCAGAGGTAAAAACCGCAACAAGCGGGAACTTTCCCTTGCGAATAGGAGTCACGTCGCCTTTGACTGTTATTTCCGTTTCGGGACCAATGTCAGCCCTGAAAATTGTCATTGTGAAAAATGATGAGCTGATGAAGAAATCAATGCCTTACATGCTGAGCGTCACGTTTGGGGTGAGCACGTGCGGACCCTCGTATTGCAACTTGCAGTTATGCAAAGTGGTTTTCAAGGGGTTTTTCACAGAGAACTCAATCGAGGACACCTTTTTTGCTGTAACGCCGTCTGGGACCTGAGGGTGAATGGATAATATAGAAAAATGTAAAACGTGTCCATATATTTGGGAAATCTACATAAATTTCTCTATATACAATTAAAATAATTTTTTTCACAATTAATTCTTGCTTCGTGTTTAGTACTTTAATATTTTCTCAAAACAATTTATTTTATTATATTATATTTATCAAATGATTTGATTAAATTTTATGAAGAATTTCACAATAGGCTTAATGGTATTTGTATTTAAATTCTAATTTCCTTGATGTGGATGGGTAGTTTAAGATATTTTAGACCTTTATTTTTAGTGGATATTAGTAAGAAACTTTTTTCAGGAAACGATAAAACGACTCAAAAAATCCATCAGGAATGTTTGGAACACAACTCTCTATATTTTGATGAAAAATAAAATAAATATTGATAAATCACTTATTTACCTTGATGGCAATTTTCGGTTTTACGATTTGGAAGTCGTCTTCGGCGGCCCACGTTTGCTTTGTCTCCAAAACGGTGGCCACGGCGAAAATCTTCATCATTCCGTACTCGACCAGCTTCGGCAGATACTCCTCAGGTGTCACCGCCAGGCGCAGCGTGTCTTCTGTGCGCAAAAATAGACCCCCTTGTACAATGCACCCCTATCGAGGAAGTTTGCAACTACCCCAGGGGTGGGAAACGTTCTCACAAAATTTGAATTTATCATCGTAGAGGTTTTGCTATATTTTGCTGCTGCAACCTGCTCTGCAGGAACGTCGAGCAGGTTGCATACTTACAAAATTAATTAATTTATTTATTTAATTTGGTTTGAAAAAGGAAATAATCAAAATTTAAGTGGACTTTAAAGATCATTTTAAACTATAGAAGAAAGTTTTGTCTAGAATTGATACATTATAAAAAAAATTCATTGTCGATATTCTAGGTTTTCTCTAACTGATGAAAAAAAAATGAAATATCAAGCCAGCAGTGAAATTATATCCAGTGCATTTTTTTATTTAAATTTTACTGTGAATAATTTGGAAAGCCGAGCTCGGAAAAAAATTAACCAGCAAGACCAATTTAATTTTACTGTTCCATTCATCCCACAAAACGATAGAAGGTCTGATCTCGTTAAATGTAAAATTTCTCCTTGATATCAAGTAAATTTTAATAGAAATCTTAATTTAAAACTCAATTTTCATCGATTGTATCTGAAGCATTTCTTTCAAATGAAGCGTGCTGAGTAACTCTGTTAGTACTTACTTCCTCCTGGCCTGATTTTGAACTTGCCAGCGGCCTTCTTGATCAGATTAGCCTCGACTCCATTATAGTAGACGCTGCTGGCCGAGAGAATCACGTCCAAAGTTCTTACGTCGTCCACTTCATTCTGCGCGATCAAATTGCATTAGCATTATTACGCTTGTTATCCCGTCCGTCGCATCTCTGCGGCAGGATATAGAGATGCATACTTTGATATTGACTTCGATGGGGAAGTTTTCACCCACGTTAACCTTTTCCAGGTCACTCAGTGTGAATTTGATGTCCTCTCTGGCCTCGCCTGGCTGCAGCAAGTAGCGCTGCGCGTTCTTGGAGCCCCTGGCCGCGTTGTACATGGCGCTGCGTTCCATTTGCGATCCTATTAGTGTGAACAAAATTAGTAAGTTAATTGCAAATTTCAAAGTAAGCGAGTCAGAGAATCCAAGATAAAGCGGAAACCAATTGTGCAATCCGATTTGTTAAATGCACTTTTGACAAATTGATTAGACCGACAATGTCAGTCGCAAATTGTAGAGAAATTTCAATATTTGCTTTAATTTATCAAAGATATTCAATGATTTGTAAATGGATAATATTATATGAAATTAAATTATTTTGCTTGGGTCAACTCATGATTGTAAATAGAAATTATAATTTACTTTCAATTATCAATACAAAATAACTGTAAATTTTTGTTACATTTTTAGCTCTTAAGTACAGCGTATTTTTAAAAGAATTTATATTTTATTTATAAATATTTTAATATAAATAAAATATAAATTAAATAATACTTTTCATTAATTAATTGATTTAAAATGCATAAAAATTAAAAAAAAAAAAACAAGATCTTAATTAGGTTTGATTCTTATTTAAAAAAATAATCCAATCAAAAAAATTTGAAGGAATAATTAGTTAATGCACCTTCTTTGGCTTTGTAGAGCAGCGTGATATCCTCCGCGTCAGATTGTCCAGTGTGGTCAAACATATTCGCTTTCTTGGTCAAAATCTTGAAGCCAACCCTGCAAAAAACCAGCTCTCTAGTATTTTGGTCCCACTCGTAATTCCATTTGTTATAAATTATGGAAACGTCCCACCGAATAAAAGGGAGCTTGCGGCAAAATAAAATTACTTATGAGAGAGAATAGAATGTGTGGTCGAGCTGGTGAGTGCGTGTGCCAATTTCTCGGCCACTTCTATTTCACTGAGCAGAGAAAGGGTATCTTGTCCGTCCCGCCGGGATTGTTCCTTCTTTTTTAATACGTTACATTATTTTATACGTCTACGCCATAATGAGAAAGACCATAAAACTGCTCGCAAGTCTTAAGATGGAGGACCATCAAGGCGGAATTTATTTATTTTGGGCAGGGTACTTTCTGCCCGCAGAGCTCGCAATAAAGCACGCTTTCGATTTTTACTCTGCCAAAAGCATTTTGGAAGAAAAATGTATGTTTTTTAGAAGAGTCGAGAGAGTGCAAATAGGCCGGAGTAGATTTTCCGATTACAGGCTGTAGTGGGAAAGTTTGAACTCACTCGGCCGTGGAAACGCTCATCCTGCGATAGCCAATCTCGGAGGTCGGGTCGTACTTCCAGTATATGACGTCTGCGTTCACGGACGCGATGAGGAAAGGCACGTCGTACTTGAGACCGACCGAGCCTTGTCTGATGGCCTGCAAAGAGGCTGGGCCGCACTGGTACACACCTATCAAAACAATCAAATTTGTTATTTTAATTAATCGTAAAAATGTATTTTCGTCATTGTAATCTAATATATCTCAATCGTCAATTTAAAAGAAAGAAAAAATGCACAAGCAAGTAACGCAAATGCTTTAATATTCAACTAGAATAAAGTCTCAAAGAGTATATTTTTGAAATTATAGATTTCCTTGTAAACTCTCAGTTTCAAAACATTAATTTACTTAATTTAATATAAAATTTATAGTTCATTAAAAAATCAAAGTTGATGAAAAAAATTAAAATATCAATTATTTAAAATAATTTTAAATTAAATTTACTTTATAAATAGAACAGTAACGATTGTAAACAGAATATATTTTAATAAAATTTAAAAATTATTATTATTATAAAAATTCATGTCAACATAAATGTATAATCTTATTCTATGCTGTACCAAATCACATACAAGCATTTTCTTTACACCCTCCTTTGGTCGTGGGAACCAAAAAAGAAACAAACAATTTCAGGACCGCAGCTTGATCGAGTTGGATAAAGTAATTAAGACGACTCTCGTCGGCGCAATAAACAAAGTTTTATGGGCGCGTCACTCAGGGTGTCACTTATCCCACTCACCGTCGCTGGTCTCCTGCGGCGTGGCGTCGATCGCCTGCCAGCCACCGTAGCCTTTGGGCAGGTCGGGTCGCGCCATCCACGCCTCGTTCCAAACGTGGAAGTTCCAGATGGAGTCGCCGTTTTCCATCGGACGCGAGTTGATGTCGTAGAATTTGTCCACGGTCAGCGAGGCGTTTGAATCGTGGGCAGAAACGAGATTGGTCACCGCTCTAGAGGGCAGGCCGAGAGCCCTGCAAACTAATGGGTGGAGCAGAAAGGAATTAATTAATAAAAAAATTTATTTTAAATCCAATTTCTAATTAATTTATTTGCAAAAAAATTTTAATTCGTCTAAGCTAATTAATTTAAATTCAACAATTTGTATTTTTATTTTAAAAAATTAGAATATCATATAAATATTTTCCAAACGTATAATTATGATTATATAAATGAATTCTTAAAAATATGGATAAAAAACTGTTTTCATTAATTTACATGAATCAAATTTGGAATGAAGTAAAATTACAAATTTTTTCAATAAACATTATCATCCAATAGAGGGGAATTTAAGTTAGATTTAAAATTTAATTGGATAAAATTTAAAAAAAAATACATTCTAACAATTTTTATCTTTAATTTATTCAAAATTAAAATTTTTATTTTAACAAAACTCACTGGTCGTTGTGACTCCAGCAAAGACCCAGCATTGTCCATACTTGACAGGTTGTCTGGTCAAATAATACTGCTCCAAAATCTTGGCCGAGCCCGTCCAAGCACTCGGAGCAGTTCCTAGCGAGTATTCGCCCGACCAATTTCCGACCAGCACTCCGGCGTCGTCATTTGAATTCACCTAGAAGCAATTAACGACACTTCCGCTTTGAATGCAAATTGAATTCAAGAAGAGCTAATTAGAGCCTCGCTCGCCGATAATGTTTGCATACATTTGCGCTCTGCTTTCTCGCTCGCGCAATCTCTGGACGAGTTTTTATCTGCAGTGAGAGCAGCAATAAAGTGCGAGCGTCTTTACACCCGCCAGCCGTAAAAGCCACCAGCGAAGAAAAGCAGGCATCGTAAAAATTTGCATTCACAACGAAGATTTTTGATACGCAAGCCTTATTTTTCCGCGAGTACCGGTAATTATACGTCATTAGTCACCATCATCCAAATTTTAATGCACTGCTCATATCAGGTTGTAAAACATCAGGTTTTATTTTCACGAGATTTGTGCGGGACAAGGCAATTTTCATATTTATTTCTTTCGTATTTTGAAACCCAGTACATTTTTAATTTATTATTATGATGCATTATTTGATGTTGTTTGGATTGACAATTGAACTAATGGTGATAGTAATTAATTCAAAAATTAAATTAAATCTGTAAAAAATGTCAAAGGTCGAGTTAATAGTTTTCAATGGTTGAAAACAAATTATTATAGCACCTCTCTTATTAAACCAGATACTTATAAATGCAATTATTTCATTTATTAGGTAATACATAAAATATATAATGTCAAATAAAATAAAATTCCTATTAATTGAATAAAATACCATGGCAATAGTTTTTTTTCCGAAAAAAAACGTTCTTTATAAAATCACGACTAATGTGTTTGCTGTTTTTTATCTTCTTTCAAGTGCCAAATTTATTTATTATTAATATTTGTAATTTTTCCAATCCATTAGAGTTATTAGTTGAGTTTTTTTGTTATGATTGATTACTTTCCCAGGATTTAAAAAAAAAATTCGCTTGCATACCAGTTTGCTGATGGCCCTGGAGAGGAGGATCGGGTTGCCTCTGTTTGCGTGGTCCAAATTGGTCTTTTCCAGCACATACATCGCTGCCGGCAGGACCGCCTTGTCGAACTGGCCGAAAACCCATTGGCGGCCGTGGTGCTGGTCGCGCGAGCCCATCCAGATTTTGCCCACGTCCGTCAGCACGTACTCGTCCAGCAGGCTTTTGTTCTCCATGAAAGTGGCGTCGTCTGCGCGCAAAAAGGGCAGTTACGACGACCGTCGCTTTAAAATAAACACGCACCTTTCACCCACGGGTTGAAGAGCAAGTAGATGTGTTCGTTGTGCGCGAAGACCTTGGGTGCGGCGGTCGGGTCCTCCTTCACGCCCGTTTCCACTGTCAGTGACCAGACGCCGACCGGAGCATCTGCAGCAGCTCGCACCTGATTTTTTTTTAAATGAAATTTTTATTATGCAGAAATTCAAATATTTGATTATTGTTGTGGAAAAATTTGGCTCATTCCTTTGTTTTTCGATGTAATTTTCAATGTTAATTAATTAAATGAATTGTAAATAATAATAATTATAGCTCTTTTATAAAAATATTAAAGGAACTAAAAATTTAATGCACTTTTTCATCTTCAGTATAATTTTAATTTGCTTTTGTTTTGAATTCTTGTGTTGCAGAATATAAAAATTCATATCAAAAATTTATTGTAGGATATTTCTCGTTAAATACAATTTGTAAGTGTTCAACACCATCCGTTCTATCTGATATAAGAAAGATCAAACCTGCCGTGTTAACCACTAAAATCTGAATCTTTTTACCTCCAGTTTAGTTTCCGTTTCACTGGAGCTCTGCAACCGGCCATACCATCGGCCATCATGAGGCGGCCAGCACTCGGAGGCGTCGTTCAAAATGCTCACTAGGCCCTGGGTGCCCTTTAGAGGGTTCGGATTTCTCCCTGTTGGGCCGAAAACGGGGATAAAATCTTGCGAGGGTTCTTTTCAGAAGCCAATAAACTTGCTCCAGTCTGTACTGAAGGATGCACAACATAGGCAACCTGTTATACAAGATTGCTGAACAGGTTGCGGAGCAAACTTTGGCTAGGAGCTCCGAGTAAGATTTTTTCAATAATATGTTTCAATCTCTTGCCAACTCAAGTTAGGTGCGTGTATTTACTTGTTGGTTTCAAAAATAACACAAACATCACCTCTAGCGAGAGCAACATAATTTAATAAATTAAAAATTTTATGATTTTTTTTTCTAAAGATTTAATTTAAGGTGTTCAACGTTGCATTACAAAAACTGGAAAATTAAAATAAGTTAAAGTCTTTTAATAGATTGTTATTCAAATTATAAAAACTTATTAAAATATTTTGCCTTAATTTTTATAATGTCTATAATAATTTGTTTTAAATATTTTTTGTAATTATTTCATTATAAAAATGTAAGCTAAATTAATGTTTGGTATAATATATTATATATTAATTTTTTGTAAAATTGTATTCAATTATATTTGACAAAAGCTTGTTCTTAATTCCTATCGTTAAATTCATTAAATTTTACATTGCATTTAAATTAAAATTGTTACCAATGCTGAAGACGAGTCTCAGGGCGTCCTTTTCCAAGTCGAAAGCTCTGTTCTCCTTGAACTTGACGATCACATCAAAATGCTGGGCCCTTCTGAAGATAGGCGTGGGCCTGGCCATCCTGACCAGCTCAAATCGGCGGGTCTGATGCGCGGACGCATTTTGCAGCGCCTCCAGTGAAACCGATTTCACGGTCAGGGCCGCGGGAACAAAGGGCGCGTCTGAAAAAAATTATCATCACACGGGAGGAATTTTTGGTTTTTGACTAGTGACGGGTTGCGCTCGCGGTTCGTCCAATTATCGCTAACGACGCGCGGCGACAAAGGGTTCCTCCGTTTGTGTGTTTGATCAAAGCATTTCATTGTACACACACGGCTGGCGGCTAATGAGCGCGCGAAACTGGCGGCGATAATTGCGCGTGGTGGATAGTAAAAGTTATAACGATTTCACGATTGTACATACTGAAATAGGCTGGTGAATAAGAGCCGGTGTCGTCCTCTGGTGGTTCGGGGCTCACGCTCACCCTGCTCCATGCTGTCTCTCCTGGCATTGCTAAAAAATGATGTAATTAAAAATAGTGTTTCATTCTTCATTGGCAATTTCCGTTGCTTATGATAGCTGAAACGCTTTCATTCCTATAAAATTAGCCTGAATTCGCATTTATTTAGTTAAACAAAACTTAATGCGCTGCATATGTGTTAATATTTCGTATTTTCCACTATTAATGGCAGATTCAAATAATATTTATAAATGAAAATTAACTATTTAGTAAAATATTTTGAAATTAAAGTGTTACAACCGCGAAAATTATCAAAATCTATTAATTTGGAGAATATAATTGGAAGCATCAATTAACCAAATTTCACACCATTTTTATGATACAAAAAATCTTTTAAAATTAATTATTTGCTTTTGAAGAATAATTTGGACGCCTCCTGCGCTATCAAATAACTCTTTTTCCTCTGATGATGTCAGCGGGCTTTATTTCAATTTAAACACGTGACCAAAATTTGATCGAAATAGAATCGTAAATGATGAAATGAAATAAGGCTTCCTCGGTTAAGATGAGAATAATATAATATCCATGCTATACTAGTTTCGGTTGCAAGTTAAAACCCTAATTCATGAGCTATTGAAATTAAATAAGCTGACAATTGATCAATTTAAAATTGATTTCGAGAAAATGACGTGCAAATAATTGCAAATAGTAATTAAAAATAATAATTTACATAAAAATATTTTATTTTAATTTTTTTTCATTCCATTGCATTCTAGCCTTAAAAAAAATGAATTAAAATCTTAAAATCAAATATTATACAAATGATAAAAACTATTTCCTTTCAAACATAGAAATTTTAATGGAACGTTTTCATTTCATTTGCGAATTTCACCGCTTCCAAAACTAAAAAAAGTGGCGTGAGCATTCAAGCTCTTAATCTTTTATTTTGGATAATTTTTATTTATTTATTATTATTTAAACAGCATTTAATAAGATAAGGAAATGCAGAAATACCTGTGACAATTTTTGCAATTTTGCCACGAATTATAAAGATTATTTTTTTGTAACAAAGCAAACTAAACCTCATTATTTATTTTCATTGCTTTTCTTTCAAAACACAAAATATTATTTCAGTGTTCTTTGTCAGAAGTATTTTTTTAATATTGGCTGGCCAAGTATCAACTGACAACACTAATTAAGTCGCAAATAAATTTCCCAGCAGAGATTGGGTGTCGTGCTTTTGACCAGTTTCCAATAAAATCCAAAAAAGCAGGCGCTCAAAGAGCGGATTGGGTTAGAGATGTTGTTATTTAGATCAGCGTAAATCACGTGGGGGTGAAGCTTCAGCCGTCACATGGACGGACGGAGGACGTCTCTATCACGAAGCATAAATAATGCCTGTGTGCGGCTGCCTTGTTATTATATGAAGCACGGCGCGCGGGACCGCAATAAAAATTGACACATAAAAGTGATATACGGCGCCAATAAAAATTTCCAGGCTTAAAAAATAGCGGCCCAATATCGAACGTCCTCTTGCAATGAACAAGTATAAATTATTTTTATTCGCTTAATTTACGACGTGAGCTGCTGTATTGAAGTGGGTTCTAATCTGAACGCGATCTTTCCCCTTCGATGATGAACGGCCCGAAGCGAAAATTGTTAATTTTCTTACCTTCCGCTTATTATGTTCTCCTCTTCGACAAAAAGTCTAAGTACAACTGGCCTGTCTGAATTTATAACGTGGGGTTTTTAATAGTAGATTAAAATGCTTTCGTTGAGCGTAAATGCGGTCGCCATATCTAGAAATATCCGGCCTGGGACTCAATCAAGCTAAAATCATTGTGGTGAAGAAAAAGTAGTTCATGCCAGAGGAAATTGCGCGATAAAAACACCACAAGAGTGACGTATTTTACTGAAAGAAGTTTATTTTTATTTATGAATTTGGAATAAAATTTAATTAACACTGTAAAAAATTAAATATAACAAATCTTCCTCCAAAAATTTATTTGAATTTATTTATATCTTATATCTTTATTATTTTTGTATTTGCTTTGGCTAATATAGACTACCAAGTGTCAGTTTTACTTTTCTGGCTTTTAAAAATTTTAAAAAATTAATAAATAATGAATATTTGCCAGCGGTTTGAACCGTTTAGCAAAATTGAGATATTTTTTTTTTGTGCAGTTTTTTGTCATTTTGAACGCTAAATCTTCAAATTTATTTTTATGTAGCTCTTTTGAATTATTCACTAACCAACGAGTAAGCATAGCTTTGAGTTCCAATCAAATTCATTTGATATTTTTCAACCTAAAACTTTTGAAGGGATGAAACAAAGCTTTGGCTAACTTTGTTCTAAAGCCGCGGTTTCTGCTATTAACGTTCGCCACAGACCACACCTGCTCCGAACGCATTTCACACGCTGCTGCTGAGATTTTAATTAATAACGCAGCGAGGAGCATTACTTCTTCTTCTTCTTCCAGGGGGGCGCACAATCAAAAGTAATGGTCCGAGAATCGCGGATCTAATTTCTGCGGATCCTGCTGCGAGAAAGTGTGCGACCTGGAGAGGCAAAGCTGCGGAGAAAGCTCGACGGGCAAAGTCGGCGTGATTTACGCGTTAAAGAGAAAAAGATCTGGCTGGCGGTATATTTTACACAGGCGGCGGTTCGCAGTCACTTTATATACGCCAGATAGTACGCAGATATGCCCTTTTGTGTATAAATAATGCGACACATTCGCTCCTCGTCCTTTCTGCTTCCTCCAGCTCGGGTCGTGGATTCGGAGTTCACTTTCTTGTGCCACCCTAAAAACCATCCTCGGGTAAATTTTAATAGAATTAAATGTATTTAATTTTCATCTGAGCTTCTGTAAATTTTCAGATTTGACCATTTATTCATCATCCTGAGAATAATCCGCTGTATTAAAACTTTTTGCATTTGAAAAATTTTATTATGATTATCTAGAACTGATTTGGTAGCAAGTAAAGATTGAGAAGAGTCAACAGAAGATTTTGAAATTAGTCACAAGTTACTCACTTGATTATTTCCCGTTTCGAGTAGTTTATTAGGGTATTAAATTCTCAAAGATTTTTAATTTGTTTAAATTTATATGATGGGGAAATGTATTCCCACGAGTAGGCTCAACTTCCGAGACTCTGGTAGGGAAATTTCTAATTTTAAAATCATTCAATTCAGTAAAAATTTAGCCAGAAAACCATCTAAATCATCAAATCAAGATCAATTATTGAATAGAAGATATAATATTTGTACACAAAAAGTGACTAAACTCTGCACCCCCTTCGCCAAACAAAAAATAACATGTTTTCTTTTCCATTCTCATTTTTTTGTACAATTTTAATAGATCAAAATAGGTTTATCGATTAATTTTTTAAAATTATGCATCAAAAAACTGAATACAAGACCAACTTAAAAGTGGATTCCTGATATCAAATATTGAATTTGTCCATTTTAAATTCCATAAAAAAAGATTAGGCAGAATCATTTTTATTTTAGTCAATTAAAATATCATGACGAGCCAATATTTTTAATTTTTGTTACAAACACAAAAGAATTTATTGAAATTTGTTGTTTGCTCACTGCAATATTATATTTCACCACCCAGCGCGGTGTCTCTTTTTAATACAAACAACACTCGCTTTTGCGGTATCTCAATCTCTCTTCGCGCGCGCGGGGAAGACTTATTTTCACCCCGAACGCGCCATTCTCTCGCGCACAAACCCCTTATTCTCGGCGGCGCAGCCAGATGATAATAACCGAAATGATGATATCGTAAACAAACGATAAATTCGGCGTAAAACTTGTTCAGCACGGCGAGCAAACAAAACAACACAAAGAGGCGCGCGGATGAATGCGCGCCGCCGGAATCCGAGGCACGCCGAAATGGGGTGCGAGTTATGTTATTGAGTTATTTAGGTTAGTATAACTCGACAGCGAGGGAGGCTTTCAACATAGCAGACCACAGAGCAGCTTTCTTGGGATTGTTGTTTGTTCTTGCCGGTCATTCTGCAAATCCGTGAAACGAGACGAAATTAAATTTTGCCCGTTTGAATGCAAATGAGGAATGAAGTGGAGCCGCTCTTTGTAAGACGTTCAGAATTGAATTCAAAGAACGGGCCAAGTGGAAGAATTCATTTCTCTGCAGAAAATCAATGAAATGGCCTGTTATATCAGATTTCAAAAGACAATAACGCGCTGCTTTTTAATTGAAAATAAACATAAGAAATAACGTCCCCAAGTTTTTTTTTTCAGATTGATTATAAAAGTCAAACGACTTTTGAGCCAAAATTTAGTCTCGGTCTAGTTTGGCTTTTAATATTTTAAATAACCCCCTATAGAACTAATTTTTAACTTATAAACTCAATTAAAAAGCTTTGATTTCATTTGGAATTTTTTTCATTTAAAAAAAAAATAAATTATGATTTAGAAATAAATTTTTTATTGTCAGGCCTGTCTCCTTAAAGTTTAGAGAAGGCAAAAGCACTGGGCAAGCACTTATTGTTTTTTTCAACTTTATTAGCATCGCTGCAATTATCACTTGTTGGTTATAAAATATTGTTTTGATTCCGATTACTTTCAAATAGAGCGAATATTTAAAATTGATGCCGCTATTTTCGGATGAAAAAAAAACTAGTGAAAAATGCTGTCTAAATTTTTACTTAAATTAGTTGGTGTTTGATCAAAAAAGTTGAACAAAATGCCCAAACCAAAGTAATACTAATATTTTGGGGAATAATTTGACGTTTAAAAATTTGAACATTTGCTGAAGAAACTCGTTGAGAAATTTCGCAAATTGCCCTGCCGTTTCTCAGGAATGGCAAGCAAACACTTTCGCGGCGAGGCAATCCATTCCGCCGACTCCTTCAACGAATGTATTCAAGCGTGATAGGCCTCATTTTTCATGTGGTTCGCGAGCTCTCTGCAGCAGAAAAGCTCCTCTCGGGAAAGAACGGGCCAGCCGTAGTAGAGTTGCATCTACATAAAACGAGAGAGAAAGTCGGTCGTAAAAATGCTCGGCGCACCAAGCTGGGCTGAAAAGCAAGGAGGGCCTGCTCGTTATGCTCTGGCGACGATATTAAATTATTACACCAGCTTTCAAGGGCAGGAATAATAACATTATATATATTAAATCATAGAGAACATCTTTGGCGGCCGTAAAGAGAACGGTCGAGCGAGCGGCCTCCACTATTACACGCGCAGATACTGGGGGATGAGCTTAGTGGTGCTGCAGTTAAAGGGTTGGTGCATTCCGTATTGGGTGCCGGATTCCGAAAGGCACGGACTGGGATTATAAGTAATTTTAATTTTTAGAAGGAAAAAAAACAGGATTTTTTTAATTTTTGTTTCAGTTTATAAATATGAAAATTTACGAGAAGTCTCAAAAATAATTATTGAACTTACAGGAAGCAAATATTCAAAATTTTAATTCAAACTGACATTTAAATATGAATTTTAAGAATCAAATAATAAAATTTCGTTTCATGGAATGGACTTCGCAATATGGCAAATCTTCAGTGCTAAATTTTTTAGCTTCTCTGCAAACTGAGTCTGGCAGACTTGATTAGCATTAATTTTAACAATTTCATGTCCATGATACTTCCCAGTTCTTCAATTTTCTTTATCGTGGATAATAATAAATCACAACAAGATTAATATGATTGCTAGGATGGATTGAGTCATTTTAAAATTATCTATTGGTAACCATTTCGCTGCTTTGAACTAAATTATTTTAATATTCCTACATTTATTATATTATAAACGAATCAATAAGAAATAAAAATTAACTGTGAAAATGACCAAAAATCAGATTTGATTTAAAATATAAAATATAAATTAAATAAAACAAAAATGAAGATAAAATACATTATAAATATAAGTTGTTAAATTATTTAATATAATTATAATTTATTAAATTGTATGGTTTATTAACACAAACATTAGCAGTGGCAACCTCAAATTATTGCTTTTAATCGTAATTGAATGATGGAACTCATCATATTTATTAATTGAACCTAAGTTCGTTAAAGCATAAAAATTAAAATGAATAAATTTTCTCTAACACTTAATTGTAAGCGTATAGAAAACTTATCAAACAAACATCTCCGCAAGTTTCGCAATAAAATTTAAAGAGTCCTTATATAAATTATCGGAATGGGTGCTGGGGGGAAATCTATCGGCAGTCCGTGCTCGCGACGTGTGCATGACATAGGGAAAGTGGCGGCGCCGTTAAACGTGCGCACACTTTAGTCGCTTAATTTATTGCCGAGCAGGTCTTACGGAGACAAACTCCGGTATAAACTTTCCGTGAGAGAGCAAGTGGAGAAGAAGTTAAGTGAGCAGCAAGTAGTGAGGATGATTTTCGGCAAAGAATGTCACACGCAAGAGTGGAGCTCCCGCCGCCGCCGCCGCTTATAAGAATAATGAGAAGTTTGTCTCTTTATTAGGAGCGCCAACTTCTCTCGGGCGTCAAAGGTTCTTTCAAGGCGCGCACCCCCCAATTAGAAACTCCATCGCGCCAACCCCCTTTGATAGGTGAACGCGCGCTTTTAAAGGGCGAGAGAGAATGAAAGCTTTCACCATCGGAAAATACCGTGTGTGGTGGCATTTCTGTTTGCATCCACCCGAATTATTATTTAAATATTTTCATTGCATTTTTTTTAAGTCATTTTGGTGATTTCGAGACAAATTTGATTCATTTTTTTTTTTATAAAGAATAATATAAAAAATAAA